GAGCAAACTGTTGGTGCTATATAAACCCTGTATAATAATAATAGTAATAACTCCTGAATATGGAATTTCCTAAGTTGCTAACCTTGCCTTTTCCAGTATTCAGTTTTGAATGTCACACAATGTTTACACCTTACCAAACACACTGGGTTCCTACCTGCTTTATCTTTTGAAAATGTTATTTATTATGAATAACTCTAATGGATACTATACATTAGTTATCACGTTTCATGATAAGGCTGATAAATTGTTATTATAGAAGGGAGTGTCCAGCACTTGAGTGATTGTGATAGACACAGGCTATTTAAATTATTTGACTCACTGAAAACCAAATATATAAGAATGTATTTGCCAATAGTTCTCTGAGGTGTGTTCTCAGGGAGTTTAGACTTTTCAGACATGGCAGCGGATATTCTTTCACTGATGTTCCTCTGGATTGTTGTCATTCTGGGTCTTCCCACCTTGGCAGAGAGTGGAAATGTACTGGTAATTGCTCAAGACACTGATACTTGGCTTGACATGCTCACTATGGTAGATAAAGTCCAACAAAAAGGCCATGAGATAGTGTTGGTGATACCTAGGAACATGATGGACATGGGCTCCTTTGAAAGAATAACAGTGAAGATGTACAGCGCCCCTCTACTTAAGTCTGGGCTCAGTATAAATTTGGAACCTATAACAGGTCAGTCTCTGATGGATAGCTTGCTAAGTGCTATTAGCACAGAATATATGAGGATGAAGTATACTGCGTCAGTTTTATCTTGTACCTGTCTAGATCTTCTGGCTGACCAGGAGTTGCTTAGTTTCTTGGAAAGAAAACGTTTTGATATTTCTGTTATGGATCCTTTTTTTCCTTGTGGTCCTATTCTTGCAAAACATCTCAAGCTCCCATCCATTTATTTTCTACCCTCACTTCCTTGTGGCTGGGATAAAAAGGCTGTAAATTGTCCAAATTCAGATCACTCTGACCTAGGAAACAACCAGGAGGATCTTTTGCAGCGAGTGAGGAGAGTTTTCCTTCACTCTTTAGAAACCTTAGCCTGCCAACAAATTGAGACTGAATACAACAGACTGGCTTCCAAGTTCCTGCATAAAGAAGTAAAGCTACTTGAAATATTTAGTCAGGCTGAACTTTGGCTATACAAATATGATTTTGTACTGAAGTCTGGTAAACCTTTGATGCCAAATATGGTCTTTATTGGGGGACATAGCTGTCCAGAGAAGAACAGAGTAGACCCGGTAAGTGTGCTTCAGTTGTTTTAGCCTTCGCTTAACATACTTGTGTTGAGATCTGTTGACCAGATACAGAGAGTGTGTAATTTACGAAGTTAAAGAATGTGGTCTGTTAGTGTTCTTTGTAATGATGTGCCTTTTTGTGAGGATTTAACCATTAGGTTTTTATGTGAAATACCAATAATTGCAAATAAGCCAGGGATTAATCTGTGGGAAATCAGAAATCAAACTGAAAGCTGCCAAAAGACATTATTTTGTTTGTCCGCAATGTGTTTTCTGTAATGCTGCCCAATGCCCCCCCCCCCCCCCAGTTGTCTATGCCAATACAAATTGATCGATCAATGGGGGATGGGCAGATGATTGATAGCCCCGCCCTCAACATTAATAGATCCTGTGTCATTCATAGAAGCTGTTGTAAGGCTCTGGAAGAAAAGGCATAATCAAGCTCTTTCAATAAAAGCTGCTGACAGCCTTAGTATTGTATTTACCCCTGCAGCTCCGGAATATTATGGCAGCGGTGGTGGAGGTGGGGCTAGGACAAAGGAAAGTTTCTTCTAAAACAAGAAGGATCAGCACATAAGACTAACTGTAAGTTATGTCCTTTGAGCTGACTTTTTATGTTCTTGATTTTAGCTAAACTTTATTGACCATACTCACAATCTACATTTATAGGTTGGGGAGAAGCTGTTCTAGGGTCTGTGTCTGAAAAGGGAGCTATGTAGAAGGTGTAGAAGAGGAGCTCTTCCCCTTGGGTAAACACCATGAGGCCAAAGGCCCATGACGTTGCACCAACAGACATTTCATGTAAGTAGGTGAGCACCACAGCAACCCCTCCCGAGTAATGTTTAGGTGGAACTTATATTCCTCATTAAGGACTATGTACTGGCAGTTTTACCATACTGTTAAAGTGTTACTAAACCCACAATCAGTAAAATCAGTCTGTATATGTAGTAAAAGCATGCATGTTGTACTCACTGTGAAACCTAAGGGGTTAATCCTCCGCATTGTGTAAAAAGGATGTTTGATCTTGTCTTCTCTGATCCTCCCCTTCTTCTACTGTCCCCAATTCATCTCCTGAAAGAACAGAGCCTTTGGCACAAACTGCACATGCTCAGTTTGGTGTGTATTGCTACAGTCTATTTTTTACTTGGAAAAGTGCATGTGATCAGCACAAGGCCAATCAGCACTGTCCAGACAGAGGGGCAGGGGTTATGCAGCCTTATAGGACAATCAAGGGAGAATGAAAACACCTCCTAGCTTTAACCAGTGCTTTGCTGGACACTGATAGAAGTCACAAGACTGCTCTGACTGCTAATGAGAAAAAAATGTATTTAGCAGTTTATATGTACTAAAATAATTGCATTTCCATGTTCTGTGTACTGTGGGAGACCAGACAGAGTGAATTCAGGGTCCTCGGTTTAGTAACACTTTAACCTCCCTAACGGTATTCCCGAGTGTAGCTCGGGGTAAAATGTTTGTACCAAAATCGGTAACCCCGAGCTCGGGCTTACCGTGCGGCGCTGCATAGGGAGTCCCTGCAGCACTTACCTTGTCCTTCGCTCCCGCGATGTGTCCCCTGCAGCGTCCCCGGCCATCTCCTCCGGCTGATGCCAGCATCCGGCTCCTGTGTTCTGGTCCCTGTGACGTCGGGACGTACGGGCGCCGCCGGCAGCGGGAAATTTGAAAATTTAAAAAAAAAGTCATTTTTTTCAAAATGATTTTACATAGTAAAACATTGCTGTTTCAACCCATTTCACATACATTTTGCCCCTAGTGCTTTGTCCTGTCCCCTGTCTGCATTTTGATTGTTCTTTCCTTCCGCCTGCAAACTTAGAAAAGTCCATGGCGTCCAAAAAGCGTCCCTTTAGGTCAGCGATGTGCGAACTTGGCGCTATATTTCAAATTTCAGTGTTTTGGTTTGATTATATTATTGAATTAAATGTATTATTATTATATTATTATTTTTTATGTTTATTTATTAAATTATAATTTATGATTTTGTGTTTCAAATTTTATCATACCCGGGATGTTTAATAGACTCTTGTTCAGACAGATTTCAGTGAGTTATTCCTAAATATTACAGCCTACAATAAAAAAACTACATATTTCCATGCAAAATAATGGTACCGCTTTCAGCACCAAAAATCTGAAATAATCATACCGCTATGAAGGTTAAGCAGCAAGCCACACTTACATATTTCAGATTTTAGAGAATAGAAAAATGTGATTGGTGGCTGTAAGTGACATAATGCAGGCTTTTCCTAATTAGTTCCTTCTAACATATGAGGTTAATTGTTCCGTTACATATAAAATCAATTTTTAGCCAACATGTTTTAAAACTTGGATAGAGTAGGGAATGGTGAAACCTCCGTCACATCGCTCTATTTCTGTTCTGTCATCTATTTCACACTATAAACATTTTTCATTACTTGATGCACTGTAAACACAACAGCACATGAAAGAAAATGCCTGGAAAGTGAAAAAAATATCAAATGGCCATATTGGAAGATTTCCCCTCTATTACTGTTTTGGCAGAGCTCAAAATTTTGAATTTTCCCTCAATTACTATCTAAGAGACAGTGGTCACCAGGACAAACAGAATGGGGACACAAACAGCAATAAAGCCTGCCATGGGTTCTAACCCCCTCACCACTGTATCCAAAAGATGTTTTGACTTTAGACAGACTGGGGTTGATTTACTAAAAATGGAAAGTGCTAAATTTGGTGCAGCTCTGCACAGAAACTGATCAGCTTCAAGGTTTTTTCGTCAAAGCTCAATTAAACAAGCTGAAGTTAGAAGCTTATTGGTTACTATCAGGGCTTTTTTTCTCAGAGTATAGATGCAGGAACTCCCCCCCCTTCTAAGTCACCCCTTGCTTTCACCCCCACCCCTCCACACACCTCCAAGCACCGTAACTTGGTTCCACCCCCTACCCACCTCCCAGCACCACACCTTTTAGAGAATACAGAGCCAAGTGTTATTTTGTATGGAATTTCTTAATGACGACAAGTAAAGTAGTAAAATAGATCTCCTTCAGCCAACAACAATAGCCCCCCCCCCCCCAGCAACAATGGACCCCACAACAAAATCCCACCCCAGCAAAAACTGATCTCCCATCCGCAAGCAACAATAGAATCCTCCCAACAACTGTAGATCCCGTTCGGCAACAATTGACCTCCCAGCAACAGTAGACCACCATGCAAAAATAGATCCTCTCCAGTGACAATTGATCCCCCAGCAACAAGCATCAATAGACTCTCTAGCCTCCCTCGCCATTATGTACATTCAGTGCTGGAGGCGACAGAACTACGTTCCCCTACGTTCCCGCTGAAAAAAAAAGCCCTGGCTACTATGCAGAGTTGTACAAGATTTTGCACTCTCCAGTTTTAGTAAATCTATCCCAATATAATAATATCCCAATCATTCTGTACAACTTTACCACTGGGTGTCAGTGTTCTTTGTGCACAGTGCTCAAATATTTGTGCCATAAACATTTACTCAGCATTTTGTTATCTTTGTCTCTAGGTCATTTGCTTTTGATTTTTTTTTTTTTTTCGTGCCATACAATGTGTACTCAGAGTTCATTTCTGAAAAGTATTTCAGCTCAGGCTACAGTAACATTCATTCTGTGGAACCTCTGGACCTAGCCATGGGGACCAGGGTCATGTGCTTCAGTTCTATTGGAATTCTTCTTTTGTTCACAGCATTTAGACTAAGTGAAAGTGACAAGTTGCTTGTTATACCACAAGATGGAAGTCTTTGGCTCGCCATGAGTAGCGTAGTTGAGAAGTTATCCCAAAGAGGTCACCAGATTGTTATGGTAGTCCCTGAAGTACATATGTATGTAAATAAGATGGATAATGTCACAGTGAGAACTTATTCGGTGCCCTTTAACAAAGAGTTTATGCAATCGATGGTGAAGGAGACTGGTCATGATATATTTCAATTCCGGCCTGTTCTGCAGGATGTGAAGTTTATGTATGAACGAATAGTAAATATAACCAGCTTTGTAGTTGCTCAGTGTGAGTATTTACTGCAAAATGACTCTCTTATCAAGTATTTGGAAGACTACAAGTTTGATGCTATGTTGAATGACCCTGTCTACCCATGTGGAGAAATCATTGCTGAACATCTTTCGATACCTTCTGTGTCTTTCATAAGGGGGGCTTTCTTTGGTGCAGACCTGGAAGCAACACGGTCTCCAGTCCCAGCTTCATATGTTCCCAGATTCTTTACTGTGTACACCGACCATATGGATTTTAGCCAGAGAGCGAAAAACTTTATAATAAGTTACATTGACCAGATTGTATGCCGAATATTCTACGCTCCCTATGCCCGATTAGCTTCAGACTACTTGCACAAGGAAGTCACAATTATGGATCTTTTCAGTAGAGCTTCCGTTTGGCTTCTAAGATATGACTTTGTATTTGAATTTCCTAGACCTATTATGCCAAACATGATCTTCATAGGAGGCATCAATTGTGTACGAAGAAATCCTCTGACTCAAGTAGGTGCAATGCTTGCTACTGTGCTTTAAAGTCAGCGCCATTTAATTTTATAACTGTTGTGTTATTTGTTGTCAGTAAAAAACAGGGATGCATTTCCCAACCAGCACACCATACCTCTGTGAATTAAGGTGTAAGTCCAGCAAATTGTTTGTATAATTTTGATTGGCGTGAGGAAGAGGAACATCCCTTGTAAACTTTTTATGGTTGTCTAGGTCCCTATGTGTCCCCATACAGATAGTTCTCCTTACTTCCTGTCTTTTTGACAATTGTTAGAACAGAAAATGAAGACATTCAAAAGCATCCTCTTTTTATTTCCCTGGGGACAATTACTTTTCCTCACAAAGATGAAAGCCTTTCTCTGTCTGCTCATGCATGTGACTTTGGGCAGAAAGTTCAAATATGAACTAATCTAAACTATTTTTCCTTACCACCTACTTTCCTCAGCTTTGTAAAAATGCATATTTTGCAAGTAAGCTTTCAACTGCAAGACTGACAGATATTGAGAAATGTGTGTTCTCTGAAAGTGTTCAATAAAAAGCAAAGTTCAGTTTGTGATAGCTGATAAGGAATCAGAGTGGATTACAGAGTTCATATAAGTGCGCACACTGCCCTGTAAAGAGTTTTGAACTAATCTCTTGATTTCTCAGATGCAGACATGAGTTCTTGCAAGGTCCTTAGATTTCTTTTTTTGGTAACATTTGGACTGAATGAAGGTGGAAAGCTGCTAGTTGTACCTCAAGATGGAAGCCATTGGCTTAGCATGAGAAACTTGGTGGAGGAGCTGTCCCATAGAGGTCATGAGATTGTTGTGGTTGTCCCAGATACCAACTTTCACTTTAAGAATTTAGACCTATTCACAGTGAGAACTTTTTCGGCTCCCTACACCAAAGAATATATTGAATTAATGATAAAAGACTATACTGATTCAGTGTTTGTAGAGAGGACAGCCTTACAGAAAGCAATGTATATGTATGATAGGATGATGAATTTGACAAATTTTTGTGTAGTAGCATGTCAGAACCTTCTTTACAATGAAACTCTTATCAATGATTTGGAAACACGCAAGTTCGATGCTATGTTGACTGATCCGGTTTTCCCATGTGGAGAGATAATATCAGAACATTTATCTATTCCAACTGTGTTCTTCATGAGAGCGGCTTTATTTGGGGTTCACCAGGAAGCATCCCAGTCTCCCAGCCCACCTTCCTATGTGCCAAGATTCTTCACTGGGTACTCTGACCACATGACCTTCAAGGAAAGAATGAAGAACATATTGTTGAGATATGCTGAGCTGATTATGTGCCATTTTGTCTATACTCCTTTTGCCCAACTGGCATCAAATTTTCTGCACAGGGAGGTCACAGCTGTTGACCTTTTTAGTCGGGCTTCAATCTGGCTATTAAGACATGACTTTGTCTTTGAATTTCCAGGACCTTTTATGCCAAACATGGTATTTATAGGAGGAATCAACTGTGCCAAGAAGAAGCATCTAAACCAGGTAGAAACGATGGGTGTTGAATTGCTATTTGCATCTCTTAACCTAGAAATGTGAACAAGCCTGCAAGATTGCATTTGCATTTATTTTAGAGTAATAGAAACCTTATAGGTAAATCTTGCAAATCTAAATAGTTTAGTAGAATATCACCTCATAAGCAAAACATCTACATCAGAGGCAAAATACTTTAAAGTTTCCTCTTATTGGGGTTGATTTGCTAAAGATAAATAGGCTGTTCACTTTGCAACGTAATTCACCCCAGAGTCTTGTGAAAAAGGTGAATTTTTTTTTTTTTCCCTTGCCCGTGAGTGGGTATTCTTTGCAAAGTCAACCACATTCATTAAACTCTGGAGCTAATTCCCTTGCAAAGTGCAACTTCTCATGTAAAATGAACAGCCTTTTTGCCTTTAGTAAATCAATTCCTTTGTCAAATCAGTAGCCAGGTTGTACTGACCTGCTTGCTTTGTTAGGATCATGTGAGGACACAGTACAAAGTGAAAGCATCTGCTTGCATGCATAGCTCTCTCGCCATCTGGAGGAGCGATGAAGTGCTCTCCCAATGGCAATTCAGGTTTTGCAGATATGGAGCAGTTTCTCACATTTGAAGCCAGCAAGTCAGTGATACATACTGTATAAAACAAAAATGAATCCTTTTATTTTCTTGCACTTCTGTTGCTGGCTAATTTTTGTTAGTGATAGAATTGCTACGGTGACAGGGGCCTTATAGCTACATGTTGGAAAATTACCTGTTCACTGAAAAAGGGGGCACTAAAATGAATCCAAGCAATACTTGCACCTTCAGTCATTTGTTTGAATCTTTATTCTTTCTGTGTTCTGTGTTAAAACATCTGCAGTTTGGATCCCTCCAATCTCACGTAAACAGGCTCATGGATTACCCACCCCATGTATACCTATGTGGCCAATCACCAGGCACTAGTATTGTCATGTGGTAGGGAGGGAAGTGAGTGAGTCATTTTCTGCCCCATACCTGGATGTAGAGTTGTGAGAGAGCGAATAGTAGATATATATACTGTATGCAGATGCAAAAACTTTGATTAAACGCAAATTTTTGGCATCGCCCTTGTATTATATATAGGTGTTTATAAATGTCTCCAGAGGCAGGGTAGATTAGATCTTAAAATGACTTTTCCTAAGGCTGGCCATACACGGTTATTTTTTTGGTTCAGCCATCTGATGGCAGTGGAGGGAAGTGGATCATCGTTGTTTTTAGAAATTCTGTATATAGCCCTACAAAACAGTGCACAGTCCACATGTGCTTTTCTGCTTCACTGCACCAAAGAAACAGGAAACTTTATTTAAAGAAAAGACAGAGTATACCATAGATGCAGTTACAAAATTATAAACACTGCCATCTACTGGTTGAAGAAAATATCTCTACTGAATACTGATGTAATTGTTACACAAAATACATGAGCACTATATTCCAACAGTTGTCAATAAGTTGGCCAACTCATAAGCCAGGTATACATGCATAGTTTTTTTTTTCATTCATCCAGAGGGCTGGTTCACACCAGATATAGTCCAGTGCATTTTTATTCTGGTTCAAAAATGCATACACAGTGCTTTCCATATATTTTAGGGTAAAAAAAACATGTATTTCTCTACATGGCATATTGTAGCTGCTATTACTCACCACATGTCCCCTATCTCAGATGACAGGAAATGATACATGAAAGAAGTTTGGAATGTACTGATAATAGCAATTTATTGGGAAACCCTATGAGTTTATTTGATGTGCAAAGTTCACTTTAGCTGTTAGAATTATTATTATTATACAGGATTTATATAGTGTTAACAGTTTGATCAGAGCTTTACAATATATATATAAGGGGAGACAATACAGCAATGATACAGTTCAATACAAGAGGGTTAGGAGGGCCCTGCTCCTTGGAGCTTACAATCTAAGTTTGTAGGCAATATACTAATCTATAAAATGTATTAACTATATACTGTATGTCATATGAAGATCTGACCTTACACCATACGTTGGTGTTTATTGCTAAACTGAAATATTGACTCATGCATGACTCTTTGTGCCCTTTCACGCAGTTTATGCATTATCATATGCATTTTAGCAGCATTTACCACCAGTTTTTGCATGTTTTTAGTGCATGCACAAACTTGCTGACAGCAGTCATAATGCATGAATATAGTAATGCATTTATAACATACTGCAATGTGAATTAGCCCTTCCACTACACCTAGACTTCAGAGACCTTCCAGTCTTGCAGGTATAATCCAATCACTTTGACTGTGTGCAATGCAGTAGTGAAATAAAGAGATAGACTGAAGCCCTGATTTGCAGAGACACAATGACACAGGAGACGGAAGGGAAAACAGAAGCAGAAAACCACACAAGTGTGCTGCTTGACCAATAACACCTCCACATATGGTGGCACAAGGAGAGAGAAATTATTAAAAGTGATTTCTCTGTGGCAAGGAAGAAAAAGGAAGTTGCATCATAGCAACATTATTTCAGAATGGGTTTAGTTTATGTAGGCCAAGAAGGGTAGAATTGATTTGTGAGTGCACTACACCCATTCTGCCTGCACACATCACTTCCTAAGGACCTGTGTAAATGGGCTTTGGGCTTGTGTTGGTGGCATCAGTCTATCATCAGTTTCAGACACTTCAGAGGTCAGAGAAGTAGACCTTCTGATCCACATTTGATCTGCTTCAAGCGGGTACTGTGTTTGTTCTAGTAGCATTGTAAGGGAATATAAAAATCCATTTGAAGCTAAAAAAAAAAAAAAGCCCAGTGACACAAGCTCTAAAAAAGTCAGTCCATGCAGACATATTGGACTGTAGTGAGAAAACAGGAAGATGAGCCAAATAACAGATATATATGTACAGTGCTCAAAAAAATTAAAGGAACACTTTTTAATCAGAGTATAGCATCAAATCAATTAAACTCCTGGGATATTGGTCTGGTCAGTTAAGTAGCAGAGGGGGTTGTTAATCAGTTTCAGCTGCTTTGATGTTAATGAAATTAACAACAGGTGCACTAGATGGGCAACAATGAAATGACCCTCAAAACAGGAATGGTTTTACAGGTGGAGGCCGCTGACATTTTTTCCCTACTCATCTTTTCTGACGTTTGTTCACTAGTATAGCATTTGGCTAGGTCAGTATTACTACTGGTAGCATGAGGCGATACCTGGACCCTACAGAGGTTGCACAGGCAATCCAACTCCTCCAGGATAGCACATCAATACGAGCCATTATCAGGTTTGCTGTGTCTCCCAACACAGTCTCAAGAGCATGAAGGAGATTCCAGGAGAGCTGAACAGGGCTGTAGAAGGTCCTTAACCCATCAGCAGGACTGGTATCTGCTCCTTTGTGCAAGGAGGAACAGGATGAGCGCTGCCAGAGCCCTACAAAATTACCTCCAGCAGGGCACTGGTGTGAATGTCTCTGACCAAACAATCAGAAACAATCTTCATGGGGGAGGCCTGTGGGCTTGACTTCCTCTAGTGGGCCCTGTGCTCATTGCCCGGCATCATAGAGCTCACTTGGCATTTGCCATTGAACATCAGAAGTGGCAGGTCCGCCACTGGCTCCCTGTGCTTTTTACAGATGAGAGCAGGTTCACCCTGAGCACATGTGACAGACATGAAAGAGTCTGGAGAAGCAGTAAAGATTGTTATGCTTCCTGTAACATCATTCAGCATGACCGTTTTGGTGGTGGGTCAGTGATGGTCTGGGGAGGCATATCCATGGAGAGACACACAGACCTCTACAGGCTACATAATGGCACCCTGACTGCCATTAGGTATCAGGATGAAATCCTTGGACCCAATATCAGACCCTACGCTGGTGCAGTGGGTCCTGGGTTCCTCCTGGTGCACAACAATACCCGGCCTCATGTGGTGAGAGTATGCAGGCAGTTCCTGGAGGATGAAGGAATTGATTCCATTGAATGGCCCGCACGCTCGCCTGACCTAAACCCAATAGAACACTTCTGGGATATCATGTTTTGGTCCATCCGATGCTGCCAGGTCGCACCTCAGACTGTCCAGGAACTCAGCGATGCCTTGGCCCAGATCTGGGAGGAAATACACCAGGACACCATCCGTCATCTCATTAGGAGCATGCCCTGACGTTGTCAGGCATGCATTCAAGCACGTGGGGGCCATACAAACTACTGAGTACCATTTTGAGTTGATGCAATGAAATTTTTAGCAAAATGGACTAGCCTGCTGCACCATTTTTTTAGCAAAATGGACTAGCCTGCTGCACCCACCTTTTTTGGGGTGCATTCAGTCATCTGTAGGTTGATAATTTTCATTTCCATTAAACGATGGGGCATTACGTTCCTAACACATTACCCAGTCCATATCAGTATAGATATCCATCATGATATTTTTTCCCCATTGAGATCTGATGTGTTTTCCAAGTGTTTAATTCTTCTGAGCAGTGTATTATATTATTAAGGCATGCAATTTATAAATGTTGCCGCTAACTTGGAAAGAAAAGGTTATGCAATATATACAGTATGTGTTGTGTTTGTGTGTTTGTAACATCTAGGAAATAATTCACATTCCATTTGCTTGATCTTTTTAGCACCAGAAAGAGTAGCATTTAAAAATGCAGTGGCACAATATGAAAATGGAAAATATCAATACTCAATTTTCCTTTCCTTTTGAGACTACCTTGGAGGATAATACAAACAAGGGACGCAGAATCTACATGATAGGGCTGCTAACTCCAAAAACAATTCTCGCTGTTGTGATAGCTGTATGGAAGGTTAATATAATTGTCAGAAACCATAATGAGCATGATTCAAAAGGCTCAAATGGGGGCTGTAGCAGAGCCTTTAGTACTGTGCTTAAGTCCCAAGCTGGAAAGAAGTCCTTTCCAGGAGGCCGCATTCCTATTGTTGCCTGAAGAACTGTTTTATTAAAGGCCCATCTGCCCATTTATGTCTCATGAGGGAAGACAGTGCTGCGACTTGTACCTTGATTGAGCTATATGCCAAGCCCATATTCAGTGCCGACTGCAGGAATTCTAGTATATGCTAGCAATGCTTGGAGCCA